ATACCTGTGCATTTCACTATATAGATATTTTGTTTCAAGGGCAAAGAAAGACAAACCTGTAAAGAAATACTGGACTCTAGTCAATGACCTGCATGCTTAAGGACTTAGAGGGAAATATACCAGTGTCTCCAACTTATTTTGAAATGTATCAAGAAAATAAGATAGATTGATAGATGGATGAATGGATATGGATACGTGATAAACAAATACAGTAAGATGGTACAGAATCTAGGTGGCGGGTATATATACATATATATACAATTCTTCCAACTTGCTGCATGTTTGAAACTTTTAAAGGTTTTTTTGTTTTGCTTAAGTAATCTTTACTCCCCATGCGGACTTGAATTCATGACCCAGAGATCAAGAGTTGCTTGCTCTTCCGACTGAGCCAGCCAGGCACCCAGAAACTTTTTATAATAAAATATTAGGAGAAAAAAACCCTAAGTCTGATCATGTCACTTCTCTGCTCAGACCCCTTCAATAGCTCTTCATCTCGCCCAGAATAAAAGCCAAAGTCCTGACAATGGCCTCCAAGCAGGATTGATTTTGATTGCCATTTTATGATTGTGACCTGTGAGGCCCTACAAGAGCTGACCTCACTTCCCACTGCTCTTTCCCTACTTCCCTGTGCCCCAGTCACACTGATCTCATTTCCAGGGACACTCCAACTCAGGGCCTTTGCACTGGCTATTCCTTCTGCCAGGAATGCTTTCCCCCGGGATATCTGCATGGCTCTCTCCCTCACTACTTCAAGCTTTTCTTCAAATGTCTCCTCAGTAGGGCCTCCTCTGATCTCCCTATTTAAAATTGCAATCCACCCTTTTCCTATTTCCCTTGCTTTATTTTTTTTAGAGAGTGCTTATAACTTCCTACAGATGATACAATTTATTGAAGGTAAGCTCTGTGAAGGCAAAGACTTTTTTCCATTTTGTTTATGCTTTATCCCCAGGGCCTAGAATGGTGCCCATCAAACAGTAAGGGTGGAATAAATACATGTTTCTAGGAATAAAGGAATTCTTCTCCCTCCTTGAGCTCAGTCTGGTGCCAAAGACCCAAGTCAACACAGATCATCACAAGGCAACACCTGATGTCCCATGAAATGGCAGAGGAGGAGGCAGGGGGCATGACAAAAGAAGTCACCAGGAAGCCAAGGTTAGAAAAAAAAAGAATGCATCTCCCAGATGAAGAGAGGATAAGAAGAGATCTGCTAGCAGCATAAACAGCATGAGCAAAACCCTAGACTCAGAAACAGCAGAGTGATTATAAGCAGTTCTCAGGGAAGCAGTGCAGGGGTGGGGTGAAGCGGCAGGAGGTAGCCCCATCCTGCCAGGAAGGGGAACTGCAGGGTTCTCGCCAAAGGCAGTATCATGGGCAGATGTGAGTTTCTGAGACTGCCCAGCTGCTGGGTGGAGAATGGATTGCGGTGGGCAAGAGTGAAGCAGGAAACCCACCAGGAGGAACCTAGCAAACAGAAGGGCCCTAAAGAAAGGGGTAGATGGGAGAGTTATTCAGGACAGAGACTCAATGAAACATGATAGTTGATGGGACTCTGACTTCTGGGTGCTCCAGTCTGGGATTGAGGGGCCATTTCTGGGTACAGGTGATGGTAGGAACAGGGTGGGAGGAGAAGGATGCTGAGGGTCTGGACATCCCAGTGGAGATGTCATGCAGGCATCTGGCTGAGTCTAGAGGTAGGTGCGGAACCTGGATGCAGAGATTTGGGAGCCCTTGATTCAAAGGGTAGGTGGACCCAGCAGGGAGTGTGCATGAAGAGAAGAGCTAGGCCAAGGCAAGAGATATTTAAGGAATCAGGAGAGAGTGACAGAGCAGAAGAGAACGGGGGAGCACTAGAGGCCAGAACCCAAGAGTCAGGGGTGGAAGAATTTCCAAAAAGAGAGTGTAGACATCCCGAGGGGGTGGGAAGCAGGGAGGCAGGGAGGCAGGGAGAGCATTATAAGGTGATGAGTGGGGGTGTGGCTGTGGAAGAAGTGGACTTTAAACCAGGTCACAGAGTGGACCACAGAGAGGGTGGGTGCAGGCCTGGAATAGGGGACAGATGCCTGGGGTCTGGGGCCAAGTGAGGAACAAGAATGGGGGAGACTCAAACTTTAGCCTTTCAAGGCTGCTCAGATATGGACTCCTCCTCCCCAGTCTCGCGGACGGGCAAGTCTCTGGCCTCTATCCCTACACCCTTGTATCCTCATCTGCAAAATGGAGTAATAGGAAAAACAGCTGTCATTTATTGAGCACTTATTATGTGTCAAGCCAAGGACACTCTCTCCATTATTTCCTCATCTAATCCTCACAACACTCTCACCAGGCTGACATTAGTATTATCGCCAGTTTACAGATGAAAAAACCGAGGCCCAGACAGGTTAAGTCACTTGGCTCAAGGCCACAAGCAAACGAATGGAGATGCTGATATTCAAGCCCAGAACCTATTTTCTGGGCTTTAACACTGTACGACTAACCCAAACAAGGCACTTCACAGTTTACAGAGCACTCCCATCACCTCATGGGGTGGTCAAAGGGAATCATGAGATGACCTCTATGCCCAAGAAAATGCTGAGATTATTACCACAGGTAGCAGGCTGAATAATGGCCCTCCGCAGATGCCCACAACCTAACCCCCAGAACCTGTGGATGTTACTTTATGTGGCCGACGAGATTTCGCAGGTGTGATTTAAGTTTAAGGGTCTTGAGATGGGAAGAGTCACCTGCATCATCCAGGTGGGCCCAATGTAGTCACAGGGGCCTTAGGAGAGGGAGGCAGGACCCGAGATGTGAAGATGGAAGAGACAGGGAGACCAGGAGGTGCCATGCTGAGGACGGAGGGAGGAACCCCAAATCATAGGACGGGTGGCATGGAGGAGCTGGAAAAGGCTGGGAAACAGATACTCCCCTGCAGCCTCTGGAAGGAACCAGCCCTGCTGGTACCTTGGCCTTAGCCCAGTGGGACTAATTTTGGACCTCTGGCCTCCAGAACGGTAAGGTAATAAATGTGTGTTTCTTTAAATCACGAAGTAAATCTGTGGTAATTTGTCGCAGCAGCAAGAAGCAGCAAATATTCCACATCACGAAACACCTGGCTCCCCTGGCCAGCCTTGGCTCAACTGTCACAAGTTCAGCTGCTATCAGGAAGCATCCCTCTGTTTTTAAATAGTTCTTTAAAAGTTCCAGTGTGGTCCCTCTGAACCTCAGTCTCTTCCTTTGTTAAAAATAAAAGTAGGGCTAATACACCTGACTCTACCTCTTTTGCAGGCACAGACTGAAGGTGCCGTATATCATTTGAAGGTTCCCACAAATCACTAGGGCAGATGAGGCCTCATTGTTGTCCCCATTGCTCAGATAGACAAGCTAAGGCTCAGAGAGGGGAAATGGCTTGCATACAGCCACACACCTAGTGAGTAACAGAGCCGGGGTTTGAACCAGGACCTCTGACTTCAGATCTACCACACTGAGGTTCATGTCTCACATGCCACCGCCCTGTCAGAGAAGCCTTCCCAGATACCACGGCACATTCATTTATTTGGTCACTCATCAAACAGTTGCTATAACTGCTCTATGCCCAACGTGGTGCTAGATAAGACTGGGGACCAAGTTCTGCACTCAGGAACCCACAACCTAGTGGACAAAACAAACAAAACAGCCATCCTAAACAGCCTGATAAATGTCTGCTGAGACAGAAGGGAGGAGGCACAGTGGGTGATGGAAGCCCTAAAGAAGGGAAACCGAGCCAGGGGTCAGGGAAGACTCCCTGGAGGAGGTAGCGATTGGGCTGAGGACAAGCAAGACTCAATGAGAAGTGTAGGCAGGGGTTCCGGTGGAGAAATGGCTAAGCAGAGGCCGGAGATACAAGTTGTAGATTCTTGAGGGCAAGGAATGTGTTGGGTCATTTCAGACCCCAAAGTCCCTCTGGGCTTCTGTGTTCCTATGTATGAATGGGAATCATGGGCCAGGGCTTTGGTAATTGCTGGGCCCAAGGGAGAGCTGAACAAGAAGTGGGGTCCTGGGATTCCCAGAGGAGGGCTGAAGGTCAGGAAGGGTCCAAGGTAAGGAGGACAGGGCAGGGTGGAGGGAGTTTTGGGGAGGAAGGGTCCTGGCTCAAGCTCCCATTCCATGTCTGACTCATGGTATGACTATAGGAGGATCCTCTTTGAGCCTCAGTGACTCCATCTGAGAAACAGAGCATGAGACAAAACTGTCTCCAAAGACCCTCCCCAGCCCTGACGGGGAAATGACATGACACAAAATTACAAAAGGGTCTTTATTTGTAAAAAGCCAAAGGGGCCCCTGGGGCGACAGGACAGGCAGGCCGGCTTCTCAGGGGTCAGGGGCATTTGGGCAGATGCGCTTGAGTGGGGGGGCGCCCTCCGAGTCCTCTGTGTCACCCTGGGCTGCCTCGGGGACAGGTGGCACTGGCTCAAAGACGGGGTAAGCTTCAGGGGCCTGGAGAGGAAGGGCGGACAGGCGTGAGCTCCACCCAAACCCAGGAGTACAGCCTCCTAGCCTCTGCCTTCTCCAGCGCCTCCACTCCACTCCCCTCCCGGACCTAGGAGTCTAGCCCAGGGCCAGGGACCCAGGAAGTAGATTAAGTGGGCACCGGAAACAACAACATCGTTTGGGGGGAAAGAAGCTGATACTTGATATTTCTGGAAAATGCATCAAGGTAGTCCTTGTGGAAAAAGTCAGAAGTCTGTCGGGGATCTCTTAAGCTAATTTTATAGTTTAAGATTAAGATAAAATAAAATACTTGGAGGAGCACCACGATCTTTTCAGGCTTTTAATGGTCTTAAATCAGCCCCGATCCAGCCCACAGGACTCTGTCTTAAAACACCCTTTCCTTTTCAGCCCTAAGAACCCAGCCTCTGAGACTTGAGCTGTGTCTGAGGTCTACATTTCCTGCCTGGACCTCAGCAGTGCAGCCCCCAAGCCTTTGGCTGCCCCAGAGCCCCCATTGCCTTAGAGACCCAGGAGTCCAGCCCTTTGGCTTCTCTCACCTCAGCCTCCAGCAATTCTGGAACAGGCTCCTCCTTGGTCAGCATTGGGGGTTCATCCGTGCTGCCTGCAGTTATGCCCCCAGGATCTGGAACATCAAGTTAACAGATATTCCCTGAGCAGGTGCTCCATGCCACAGCACAGACCAGGGCTGAGGGACACCGGGGAGGGAGCTGGGGACCTGGCTGCAAGCCAGAAGAGAACACAGGAAGGACATTTAAGTGGGATCTTGACAGGTGAGTAAGATTTCATCAGGTAGACAAACGGGGAGTGGAGCACATTTTAGGCAAACAGGACATATATTTAGTGAATACAGATTCTGAGGTTGGACTCCTGGGTTCAAATCCTGACCTTGGGCAAGTGACTTAATTCCTCTGGGCCTCAGTTTCCCCATCTGTAAAGTGTAAGTAATCACCACATGGACAGTTGTGAGGATTAAGTGAGATAATACAGGTAAAGCCCTTAGTAAAGCATCTGGCACATAGTAGGTGCTCAATAAATGCCTGTTATTATTTTTATGTTAGTAAAGGTGCACAAGTGCATGGCACAACCTAAACATAGCCCATAAGCCTAAGTCATGGTATTCTTGGAAAGGAATAATGAGACCAGCAGGGGTAGTTCAAGAAGGGCCCAGAATGCCAAGTGGAGGAGTCAAAGGTATAGGGAGCCATTGAAGGCTTTGAGGCAGAAAAATGAGCCTGGCAAACTTGTACTTTAGAAAAAGTTGCTCTGGCAGCTGTGCAGAGGTGACTGGGGGAGAGGAGACCCATAAGGAGGCTGGAGCCAGGTGGGGGTAAGAGACAGCTCTTCTAGGAAGGCAGACACATTTGGGACATGGTTCAGACCAGACAGGGGATTGTACAGAAGAGAGAGGAGGTGAGGAGGAATTATGCCCAAGATATGGGCTCACTGGCTGTGTGAGCTTGGGGTACTTCTCTGAGTTTCAGCTTCTCATCTACATGAGGGGGTGATAGCCCCCATAGGGTTATGAGGATTACGTGACCTACAACACATTCAGAAGGGCATCTGGCACACAGTCAGAGCTCGATAGGTATGGGCTGTTATTATCACTTATTAACCACCTTCAGGAATATCGCTATTATTTAGTCCTCAACAAATATTTATTGAGCACCTTCTATGTGTCCCACATTGTTCTGAGAATTCAGTAATGAACAAGATCAACGTGGACCCAAGGTTCAGGAAGCTGACATGAGGTGGGGGTTGGGGGGAGAAATAGTAAAAAAAAAATTTACATGAAAATCTCAGACGATGATTAGTTATCTAAAGACCCAAAGAAGCCAGAGGAATGAGACAGACAGTCGCTGGAGGTAGGATGGTGACTTTCTGTGAGAATCAGGGAAGACTTCCAGGAGCGGGTAACACAGGAGAGGAGTAGGTGTTGGTAGATGTAAGCTGGTGGCTTCAACTTTGCAGAGGACAAGAGTCAGAGGAGAGGGCTCTAGGGAGGCACCTGGTCCTACCTCTTTCTTGGCCCAGACGTGGGGGCTGAGCATCCTCTGGGACCCCTTCTGGTGGTCCAGCAGGTGACACAGGGCGGCTGGGCTGAGGGGTGCCCCCAGGGCTGGGCTCAGTGCCCTTTTGCAGGGAGCCTTCCGAATGGAAACTCTGGTTACTGTTCTCATCTGTGGGAGCAAAAGCCGAGAGGGTTGGGCCTGAGGGCCCCAGTTCTCTCCCTCATCTACAGCCCACACCTCCCCCTGAAATTCCAGGATCCCTACATACCATTGAGATCCAGCAGGATGAGAGGGCCACCCCCTCGGGGACTGGCGCCCCTGCCCCGTCGCTCCCGGCCTCGAGATCTCTCTGCCCCACCACCTGCCCTCCGCCGCTCCTGGGGGTTAAAGGGGTGAGGGTCAGTGGCAGCTTTCCAGTTAGTGCTTGCAAAGCCCCCACTGTACAAATTAGTAAACTGAGGCACAGAGAAGCAAAAGACCCTGCATGAGGTGACAGAGTGTGGCACAGTGAGTTAGGTCTTGAACTCAGGGGTCGGAAGCAGGAAAAAAGGAGAAGGGGGTGGAGTTGCTAATAATTGTTAACATCTGTCTTGGCTGCTGCATTTGAGGTCTCAGAGCGGGACTGGAGGTGGAGGCCAGGGTGGGGAGGGGCTCGCCTGAGGTTGCACAGATGAAGGGCCTGGTGTGGGAGAGCTTGCTCACCTCCTCCTGGGGGTCCACCACTGGCACCCACTTGAAGATACGAAGGGAAGTGTCGCCCACAGTCACCCAGCGCTTCTCCCTGTGGGAGGGTGGGGGGACTGGGTCAAAGTTCTGAGGAGAGAGCCCCCCCAGGAGCTGAACACATCTGGGGAGACCTGCAGAAGTAGGGGTGGTGCAGTTTTGCTAATGGGGCATAGTTAGAAGGAGAAAGTCCTGCAGACCCCAGGCCTTACGTGGGGGTGCCTCTAGAAAGAGAGTGTGGCTTGGGGCCATAGCTCTGCAGACCCCTGGGGTATACAAGAGAGCAAGACTAATGACCCAGCCGGGGACCACACCAATGAAGATCCTGGGCATACTTGAGGGAGGAGTGGCAAAGCTTTAGGGGGCGGGGCATAAATGAGGGTAAGGCTTGGGAACACGCTTTGTAGACCCTAGGGTGTAGCCAGAAGGGGGACAGAGCCCTATAGCTCCAGGGCGCAGCTGGGGGGTACACCTAACACCTGGGGGCCACGGCAGGCGAAGGGAGGGTAGACGCATTTGGGAGAGGAGTAGCCCCGCCAGGTCCCGTCCCTGGCCCCGGGGCAGCGCTCACCATCTCCGGACCTTCTCGATGGTCGCCATCACCTTCTTGATGTCATCCTTGGCCCGGCTCCGGGTCTCGGCCCGCACGGTCCGGCCGGCCATGCTGGCGGGGCTGGGGCCGAGGCCGAGCCCGCGGCTGGGCCGCCTCCCGTCCGGCGGGCTCAGGCTCGGCGCCAGACCCGGGCGCCGCTCTCTCCGCCTGCCGTCCCTCCGGGAGTTGGCCGCGCCCTCCCTCGCTCCCCAACGCCTCCGCGAGTCCCCGCCCCGCTTCCTGCCGCCGCGCCGCGCCCCGCCCCGGCCCGTCCCCGGAGCGGCCGGGCGGCGCGGGCGGCCAGAGCCCAGGCCTGGAAGCCGGCCGGCCCCGCCCCGACCGGGCCCGCCCCCTCGGGGCGCCCGGACGCGCAGCGCCCCCTACCCGCCACCAAGAGGGAGGGTTGGGGACAGCTCGGCGCCAAGACGCGCGCAGCTGGGCTGAGGCGGTGCGTTCAGACCACGTGGGCGCCAGAGGGCGCGAGGGGGTCACGGTCCCGGCGAGCTGCGCGGGGGCGGCCCCGAATGCTGTGCGCAGAGTATGTGTCCAGCCTCCCTTGGCTCTCGCTCCCAGACTGTTTTTCTCCAGCCATTCATTCAGCTGTCTCTTCACTGACTGCCCATTACCGGCCAGACGCTGCAAATATGAGTAGGTCTCCACCTACCAGAATGGCTAAAATGAGAACAACAGACCATATCAAGTGTAGACAAAGAAGTAAAGCAAGCAGAGCTCTCATTTCTGGGGGAGTGGAAACTGGTAGAGACGCTTTGAAAAACTGGCAGTTTTCTAGAGAAGCTGAACTTACACGTTCCAGCAATTCTACTCCTAGGTCATCAACACTCAACAGAAATACACAGGTATGAGCACGAAGAGGTGTGTACTGGAATGTTCATAGTACTGTCGATAATGTCCTCAAACTGGAAACAGCCCATCAAGAGGAAAGTGGAAAATGAATTGTAGCCTGTTCACACAGTGGACACAGCACAGAGTGATGTCTTGCTACACATCCAACAATAGGGACAAGTCTCATGAAAGAAATCAAATACAACAACACACACTGTATGATTCCTTTTATATGAAGTTCAAAACAGACAAAACTGATTTGTGGTGTGAGAAGTCAGGATAGTGGTCACCCTTAGGGCTGAGAGGGGCTAAAAGGGAGCTCTTGGACTGGTCATGTTCAGTTTCTTAATCTGATGTTGGTCCCCTCCCCCCAACATATTTACTCTGAATATTCACTGAACTGTACACTTTAGGATGAATGTACTTTTCCCTATGCATATTATACTTCAATTAAAAGTTTACTTCAAATGAGTGTGTTTAGGTTGATTTTATTTGAAGCTGTGTTTGCCAGCAGATATGACATGGGTTGCTATGTGTGTGTGTTGCAAGGGTGGGACTCTGGCCAGAGGGTTTAAAGGTATAAGAGAGTGATTATAACCAAATTTCTGGAGCCAAACTGCCTTGCGGAAAATCCCAGCTCTGCTTGTCCAGTGACCTTAGACAACTCACTTATCTCTCTATTCCCTCAGCTATAACATGAGAGTAAGTTAATATGTAATGTAGCTCCTGGAACAATGCCTGCACATAGGAAATGCCCAATAAATATTCGCTGTTAGTAAGTGTGTGATTGTGACCCCTACCAACAGTTGGCTTCGATTGTACCTGCTATGGCTTCTGCCCGTTAATGCCTTCTTTTATTCTGGCAATTATCTGCTTCTGGCAATACCCTCACAGACACATAGGCCTCCTTCCCAGTCCCTTCACTCACAAACCCCATCACCTGCTCTGGTCTCCCACATCAGACCGAGCTCCTCAGGGGGCCAGAGACCAAATATGGATCATTCCTGGGTCCCGGAGCCCAGGGCAAGTAGGTACTTGGGAACAATTTATGGTTGTAAGTGTGTACAGACCTTTCATCGTTTATCTGCATCAGGTGAGTGGGGTGGACATGTCGGTATGACCCCCCGTACCTTGTTCCTGGGTGAGAATGAAGGTCTACATGCAGTAGATGTGTGTAAGTGGGAGGGATTCTCTTACTGGGCCTGGTAAGGTGAAGTGAGCCGGTGTATCTGTCACACTCCTAGTAGGTGTGATAATGAGAGAGAGGGGGAGGGAGAGAGAGAGAGAGAGAGAGAGAGAGAGAGAGATAATGAGAGAGACAGAGAAAATATCTAAGACCAGAAGGTATTTGTCTGGGCAGGTGTGGCCCAAG